TTCTAATTATCTTTTACATGCTGTATATATTTTCTGTGATCACTTCATCTAGTTACCGTAATCAGTGGCCAACTCGTGATTTCGAGAACATTCAGATTTGATCGCCAGACTCAGCTGGATCAAATGGCGACGACTTGGGATCGAACCTATCGAATAAAAAATTAGAAACGCATTTTAATTCTCACGCGTCAAAATTTTCATTCATAAGAAGAAAATAAATTTTATATACATGTTCTAAAAAATCCATAAAACACACAACACTCGTTCTTTGCTATCCAAACAGTACACTGGCCTATAGGAAATAGGTAAATAGTTTTAAATGAACGGACGACCCGACAGTCGAAATGCAGCAGACGATACAAGGAACAGTGCAACATCTCGTTGAGAGGGAATATGACAGCGAAGATTAAGCATTAGGCAAATTAATACTCAGAAATGAGATTACGGTATTGAGAGCATCGGACACTGAAACTAATTTCGATTGGAACGTTTATTGCCGAACAGCTGTTCGACGCCTGTGAGAATTGTATTCAAACTGAGCGGATCGTCGGGATTCGTGCAACGGGTGCCGAGGATATTGTCCTGAAATTGGTCCATGTTGGAAAAGTGCAAAATGAGAGAAAAAATCACATATGAGCTCTGTCCTTCCTCAACAGTGAAGAAGAACGTAAAACTTTCAATACTTCATATTAGATGAACGTTGCTAAGCCGCCAGAACGATAAAAAGAAACTTCTTCTGATCCCGAATCGATAGGTTCAGGCTTTCATTACGAAGTGCTTCACAAAAATACGCGTTACAGTGATCACAACTTGGCGCACGCGCGCGCTTAGTGACTGTTTTCTTCCCGGTGTGAGCCAAAGTGCACGCTGCTCGTCTGCGAGCAACAAAATTAGCAAGAAATTAGTTCGAGTCTTCAAACTGCATAAATTTTCTGCGCTCTCTCCTTGCTGCTTCTATAGTATCCTATGAACGGCATTCGATGCTTAGTCGAACGTTGTTCTTTACCTGTCCAACCTTACGCATTCGCAGCAAGATGGTGAACATTTTACCAAGCCCTAAACGCTTAGGCAGGGCTAGGTGACCAGATGAGAGTGAAAAGCGGTGCGCTTTGAATGATGCGGACTAATTTCCGCGTTTTTATTCCGATGAGACGCCTGCTGTTTACGACATTGGGGCTTTTAGGCATTAAAGGAATCGTTCACGGAAAATCTTGCATTCTTCCCCAACATGAATATGTCAGTTGTGATCACTAGAGACAACATACAAAGTTTCACGCAAGAAGATTCAGTTTCCGAAGAGAAACAAACCTTAGGAAACCACACTCTGGGGACGGTCGCGGGTAGGTCGGGCGAGACAAAGAATGCATGGAAAGAAGTGCGCCTTGGAGCGGACCAGGCATTTTTTGCCACTACCAGGCAGCGCATTGAGGGAATCGGTTTCAAGCGGTCAAATTCGGAGAATGGAGACAAAACGATCGATAGAATAGGATGCAGTAGAAAAAGATGTTATTGCATAAGAGGAAAAGGCCAAAAGAGTTTCTAGTGAAGGCACTCCGAGAACCAAGTGAATCGTTCTCGTCGCTAACATTTGTGACAGATGTACGGCGGGAATTTAAACGGGTAAGACCTCACGGTTTTCGAAGCACAATGATGGGTCTCAAGCCAATGACTTATAGGTGAGATAAAATCATGATTTTTGTCGTTGACGAGTGCTTCAACTCCAAAGCGAGTGGGAATGAAGAAATCAGAAATGGATAAGAAACTTACTCGAACTTGCTTATATCCGCACAAGCACTGACACGTTCCAAATCTACAGTCGGCAAATCCCGGACACTGTTTCTTAGACAGACATCGGTGACCAAGTTGAGCCTTTGGAAGGCAACGATCGGTAGAGGCGATCTCCTCTAACTGGTTGCAGCTCTTCTCGCATGTCGGGAAGCGGTCATCGTTGAACTGCAAGTTTTTTTTATGTAAACAATTAACACAGCTATCAGAGAAGTACATGAGTAATACCCTAGAAAAACTAATGAACTAACTGGATGGAAGCCAAGTTTGCATTGACAGGTGCCAAGAGTACATGACATCGAAATGCCACCCTCACACTATAAATGTCCATGGTAAATTGCCGGTATAGGTTATTTTTATTTTCAAAAATTACTTTGGTGTAAAATTATGAATTTTAAATCACCTGTTGATCAATTTGGCACGGGTCGTCACGATGAGCTATGGATAGGCACTGACCGTTGATATACAGTGGAGTCGGATCACGACAGGGCCTAGGGCAGCACAGCGATGACTTCCATCTGAAACTAGTCCTTGAAAGCTGTTTGCAATCTTTTGCGGTAGCGCATTGGTGATATATGATGTACTCAGTGATGATTTCTAAAATTAATTTTCCAATACAAAAAATTACCCGCCCTGGCTCGCTGATCGAATAGCAAAAGTGGGTGAGTGGTCGGCATTTGGATTCAGGCGGTGCTCCGGCGTCACAGGACTGGCTGGAAAAATATTCAACGATGATTTTGAAGGAGGAGAACGATTAAGGCGCAGGATATCCCGATTGCGGCGGACCAAAGGCGGATACGACTCAAGCTCGCGTGGTAACCTCGTGTCGGCGCGCCGTCGCAATTGGGTTCTCCTGACTCACAAGTGAAGAAAAGAGTCAAGAAAAAGAATGATTTGCCAAGTCGAACCTCAGATCAGGCTCCCCATATGGGCACCGCAATCGACAGCAGTGTCCTACATATGGACTGCCGTAGGTCACACAACGGTAACCGAGTGGACAACTGTCGGTGTTCGCCGCATTTTCGAGCATGTCAACGTCGTTCACAAACAATCGACGGCACGTCTGCCGCGGATGCATTCCATCGGGACAGACTGAAGTAAAACGACAAATCCACTAATACTTTGTTACACCTGTTTTAAGATTCCCACAGAAGCATATGCTGCCTAATTTGTGGACGTATTCTGTGGAAATAGGATCACTCGAAACCAGTGCCCTGGTTCTTCGTAGGCAAAGAGCAACCAACTGGTGCGAGCAGTCGCGACGCGGCCGGCCTAGATTGCGCACCAATTACTTCCCCTACAGAAGTATGATCTATGTACCGAACGAGACAGGTATTCTAGTGAGAAGCGCACTAAAAACCGCAACAGACATTTTCTTTCATTCCAAAGATCAGTGCTGTAGGTGGCACAAAGATTGCGCCAAAGTTCCATCTCATGGTGCATAGACCCTTGGGCCCATTGACCCATAAGGTGATTAGTTCTAAAATAATCACAAAGTATTGGTGCGAAATGGGCCAGCAATAAAGAAGAAAGTGAAAGAATCTGTCGAAAATGCTTCAGTTAGGGGTTGTTCATCTTCATAATGCGTCGTAGAGGGAAAGAGGCACTGAGCTTGGAGGTGAGAGCATGAGGCGATAGAGCGCAACAGATGAGAGGGAATCAGACAGCTGCTGCGGCGGGGAACATTGCAGCTGCTGCAGCTAATTTTGCAAGGCCCTGGCGCCTTGTCGGGTGATTTCCATGCACGGGAATGATACAACAGCGCCTGCTCTCTCGTGTCTATACTACAGACCATTAGAGTCATTCACACGACTACTACCTAAGTTGTGCCTTCACGATTGAATTTAGTGTTTCATCGTTAATGTTTATCACTAGGCTTTGCTTTTGAAGAAGTGTAGACAGACACTTGTAGAATTCGAGGAAGGGCTCGTACCAGCATAACAGAAGCCTCTCATTACATCTCTTGTTGTTCCAGGAGCGCACTGACAGGTGCCTCCGACGCAAGCGTTGAATGGATCGACACATTGGCTGTCCTTCTCGCACATTTGTCCATAATGAGCCACTCGCGTACACTCGACGCCGTAGAGTTGTTGACCAGTCGGGCATGCTGAAAAATATAAGTCGCTTATTAAAATGTGCTTTTTTCACAAGTAGTTGTGAAGTATAATGTGCTTAAAATGGGAAAAATTGCTTAGAAGAAAAACGGGAGGATGCGAATGTTCCAGATTGGTTCGATTTCCAATGGAATATTTAAGCGCTCAGTTTTGAACTATTTTTAGTTCTACTAAACTAAACGACCTTACTGGGCTTGTGCCAAATTTGGCTGATTGATTTGGCGCAAAATATTTCTGCAGTTCACGTGAACTAGGTAAAAAAAATCCGCGCACTGCCACAACGTCGGCCTCCTGATCGGCATAGGCTTGCACTTCTCCGATCTACTGAAGAGCTGAGGCATTCACTGGTTACAAGGGGATTTTCTAGAGAGCAGAGGTCCCGGTAGTCTGTCGTACTATGAGGTAGATATCGTCGGATTGTATTACCTAATCGTCCGAAACAGATAGGGAGGATTTCTCCATCGATCAACTATGGTGCTTTCGGAGGTCGAAACGAGAGCAACTCACGCACTACGCATTCCCCATCCACGATACTTCCGCCCCAACATTCGCATCTCCCGTCCCGACACAGAAGAGGAGGTTTGCAGTCCCTTTGACATGTGTCGCCAATCTTTGATGGTGCTGAAAAAAGAAAATGTGGCTGATTTAGCAGGAAATGTAAGAGATGATGTAATATGTTAACTGTAAGAAGTTCCACATAGCAAATGATTAGTTTAAATGTTAGCTTCAAACATGTTGCTAACCATACTTTGACGACTGCTGCAGTACAAAGTGAAGTTTTAATGAACAATTTGCTCAAGGACGTTTTTCACGTGCAGCACAATACACCTAAGGTTGGTGTCAGAGTCAACAATCCGTCGCAGTTTCGCGCGATTCGCGAGATTCGCGCGAATCGCAAAAATTGCAAGTGCCCCATTTGAACATTTGAAACACTGAATATGAAACAAGTAGAATCATGAACAGTCGTCATTCAGCCATCACTATCAAGCAGAAATGGCGGCAGGATTGGAGAGCACCTTGCAGTATTGATCGGGCACTTGTGATTTCTGTGATCCGGCGCGCATTGCGCGAAATCTGCGAGGGATCGCGGGGGATCGCGGACTCTAGCACCAGCATCAGAGGAAGTTTCGAAATCGAGTGGGGGCGTTGTTCTAGTCGAAAATGGAACAGCAGGAAGGCTATTCAAAGGCATGGGGTCTCATCCAGTAAGGGGGGCATCAAGTGGCTGCCCTCACCCCCCACCCCCTAGACTGCCTACACTCCCCCTGGCGCACAGGTTTCTCGAAGTACGGGACCCCGTGAGCCAGGGGGAGTGAAGGCAGTCTAGGGGGTGGGGGGTGAGGGCAGCCACTTGACGTTGCATCACAATGCCCCCCCCCCCCCTTACTGGATGAGACCCAAGGCAAGATTTGGGATAAAATAGGTGTGGAAAAGCGTTCAGTTATGAAGCTATAGGTGGGAGGTGGTCTGTAAAAGAGAAGGAAAGCAAACGAAACCACCGATTACGCCCCGTACAGAGACCTCCCCTATTTCAGCCACATTCCACCTTGGGATAGAGAAGAGGCGAATTGGACGAGTTTCACGAACCTAACTCTACTTGCTCCAGTGCCAATGACATTGGATCGCGCTGGGACCGCGCCCGCGCTTTTCAAGCAGCGCCACGTGGCAACCGACAGCGAAGGGTGGGGCTTGCGGACGAAGGTGTGAGTTGCGGGTTGGACGAGCTCCTTGCGCCTTTGTCGCGCACTTTCAAGCCGCAAAAGGGGCCGACATCAACTTGTCCACCTGCCTACTACCCCTGGATGGAACAGGCGAGCCCGCCTGATCGCGGAGCGTGCCTTCAAGAGGAAAAAAGCAAGTAACTAAAGGAAACATTGAGATTTCTTAGTGAGGTCATCGAGATACAATGTGAAATCATAGATCGACAATGAGCGGAAATATTCGAGAGCACGTAATACGAGTCGTCGCAGACGCCGCATATGGTGCGACTGAGCGGCGACAGTGATCAAAGCAAAGCCTCAGTACCTATCGAGCCGTTTCTAGTCGCCTGCCAGGACTTCTGTGACTGGGAACCCAGCCCGTCCTCACTGATAAAAGAAGTGCTGTCAGAATTTTATTCGATACCCGTGCCACTAACACAATTTCATGCAGCGAGGAACGATAAAGAACCTCTACGCAGCAACAGTGCTTCAGGCTGCGAGATAACGCGAATTTGTTTTTCCGCAGTTTCGTGGGAATGTTTCATGAATAAGTGCTTAACTTCGACGTACCAAGGACGGAAAGCGCGCAAAGGTTTAGACCAAGTCACCCGAAACACCAAAGTCAGCGCGCGGTGAAGAAGAAAAACGAATTGCGGGTGTGAGCCGTAGAAAAAGGCAAGAGATGTCTCCCTTGTTTATGCGCCATGCATTTGATTTTCTATCGGTCATGTGGGTTTCAAATGCATTATGGTCTATACATTGAGTGGGTCAACGTGAAGGTGAAACATTCTTTCGTTCCAGATGAGTTTGATACTAATTGGCTGCGCGGAATCGCTGACTGAACTAGCGGTATGCAATCACGGATCAGATTCATAGGGTGTACATGTGTTAAAAGCGCCAGTTCCCTCTATACAACTGTGGAAAAGTGATAAACACTACGAAACATTGCCGAGAAAAACCTCGTAAACATACTAAACATAGTGTCGCTGCTGGGGTGAAATTGGAATGCCAATCCACGCAAATGTACTAATATAAAACTTACGGCAAATCGCGTTGAGCCATAAAAACGAATAAACAACGAAATTAAAAACGTCATATACAGTGACGTACCCCATCGATCCAATGTAGTTCATAACGAAGTCAAATTCTCAAATTAGTGGCAAGTGATCGACATGCCGACATTACGATTCATATACCGTCCCGCACTGCCTCGTCAAAGTAAGGCACTTGCCGATGACTCTCTAAAACATCGCCACAATTGTGGCCGAAAGGAATAACCAGATAAAGGTGATCTGATTTTCGGCTTGGAGAAGCAGAAAATCCTTCGGGAAGAAACGGGATCGGCAGCGGAGCATTGATTAATTGTGAGGGATGGGGGGGGACCCACATCCCGAAAATAGAGTTTCCGAATTCTGTAGCGCATGATGCCACAGTCTCAAACGAGAGCGGTATCCTACCCATCGCCAACAAGAGACTTACAAGGTGTTCGTATGTAGTCTAACCACTCGCCAAAAACTTCACTATTTCATATAAAATTTCTCGATCCGCTGAGGTATCAAGCTTTTTTTGTACAAGCTGTACTCGGTTGTATCCGAAACGCATTGGTCCACTAGAGAAATGACTGTTAGAGCTGAGGTGTTATTTTGTTCGAGAATTAGACATAAAGTGTTTTGTGAGGTCGACCATGGCAAGACGGAGAGACACTGCCTGCGAGAGGGAAGAACGGCGAAAGCGCACGCCATACGCGAAAGAATGTAAACGCCACGCATGCCACGATTAATAAGTATGGCAGCATGGCAAAGACAAGGAAACGCCTTATCGCCGTCAACTCGCACCTTTGAGTCGCGACAGTGCCGCGCCTCCTGTGCTTGGAACCCTCCCTCGTCACTCGAGGAAAACTGGCTCTTAGCACCTAATCCCGAACCGTGGCATCAAATTAAATGTCATGACTGGGATAGGACCGATCACAATAAAGGCTTTGTCATTGACCTCAATTGGAGCGCTGTTATAAGTCGAATCAACATCTCATGCTGGCGGAAAGCCTATAGCCTACCACGACAGTAATCCTTCATGGGAATGAGGCATCTCAACCCTGGCGGTACCCTCCAGGAGCCCGTCGCGCGACAAAATGCCATCGCAGGCGACGAGCGCAGCGCGTGAATTCGTTGCCCAAGTGATACAGTTCCCTGCCGACCTACTGTACACGGATGGGGACGCGCTGCAACTCGTCGCGCGACTCTGCCTCCTTGCCGGCGACGTGCCTCCTGGGACCCATCGGCTGCCACTAAAAACGCTTGCCACGCGTACCAACTTATTTTATGGTATTTCGATACTGAATCAATAACCAAAAGTAACTAATAAGTAAACATAAACAACCACAGTACCGAAGGATTACATATGTTTCATTTTAGAAAAGCCGTAAGAAATTGTTGGTTTGATTAATTTCTGATTCGTTTTATTGCCATAAACATGTAATAGAAGGAGTGCTAGAAGTAAAGATAAAGCTGTATGAATGGGAAGATAAGCGCTAAATCGAAACAATCAATTAATTGGCACTTCGTGAAAAGTGAATAAATGTTGTCTTTTCACTACCACTACTCGCCGTTTTGATGAGATCTTGCTTAAGCAATCTTTACGCATTGAACATTGCAGAAATTATTTTGTGACATTCATGTTTTTGTTCATTTACAAACAAAATCTGCGGTGTGTGGTGAGGCGGCGGCGCCCACAAAATCGCGTCCGTCCCACGCGACCGAAAAGTGGAAAAGGGGCGCCGTCGTGAATGTGTTGAACAGGGCTTCGACGCAGAAAGACCTTGCCAGCCCATTGATGGCACTGCAAGTCAGCTATCTTAGGGTGTAATCCCTGAATACAGTTAGGGCACATCGGTTGAGTCAAACATGACGCTTAGGCACACAAAGAAGGCGAATGCATGACTCAGCATGTAAATGAAATCATGCCGGTTCTATGAGAACGTGTTGGCTTCGTTTTCTTCTTAAAATCGTTCGTCAAAGATGATTTACAAGCTATCCAATCGATCTCAGATTTCATCTGATCATAGAGAAAATAAGTACATATATCGACACGAAGAACATGTTTGCTTTAACGTAGGTAAAATGAGCGAGTCCCTAACTTCAAAGTGAGTTCTAGGAGAGTACGAAAAGTGGAAGAATTTCTGAAACTAATCTTCATGGTAGGGTGAAAGATGTGTTACTCAAAATGAGTGATAGAAAAAAAAATAAAAAATCGAAAAACAATTAGGAAGGGCATTCTTTAAGCATCTCCGTCAAACTTGAAATATCTGATATGCTTCATTTTCATAGCAACACCTGGTGCGGTGTGTAACTAATGTATAACTTCGATAGAACAATCATTGTGAAGGCTGGTTACTGAATGATTTCTTCATGGATGAGGGTCTTTATTACAGCATCACTATAAGAAGACCCATTCATTAAAACACAGTGAAAAATTCTTATAAATTTGAATAATGCCCTCACGAGCAGAGACAGAGATGACCTGTAGATGATTTTCGATCACTCAGCAAAGATAGCAGTCACCCCACCGGGGCGCGCTAGCAACGCCTGTAGATGGAGTTTAGTAGTGATGTCACACCTATCCATATGCAAAAGTGAGCAAGAGAACTCACGGGTGCATGGCACATCGAATGCTTGGGTGATTCCGATCAATATGAAGATCGATAGCAATGACGACATGTTCGCTACCGCCGCCGGTTAAGTGGGACGCGAGCGATGATGGTGGTTGCTGGTCGTGGATGAGATCTCCTCCCAGATACGGGGGTCTCGATGCGAATCCCCACCCTAAATCGGTCAGCAAACCCTGTTCATCTCTTCGGTACTTAGTCCTTTAGCAATCCACGATTCGTTCGACTTTTGATTATAATTAAGTTCAACGTGAACAAGTTCAGATTTAGCGGACACAATCGGGACATTGCGGAACTACTTTTGTCAAATGAACGCGGGTTTGACCTTGCCCGATGGGATTGCGCGCAGCTCAGGTCCTTTTAGAAAAAATACGCATGTAACACT